GAGAGTGGGAGGAGGTGAGGGCAGGGAGGTGACTGGGCATGTGGTGAAGAACTGTGTGGGCCTTCTGTTGAGGACTCGGACTTTTCCTCGGAATGAGGTGAGAGCCGTTGAAGGCTCTGTGCAGAGAAGGGACAGGATCTACCTTAGGCTAACAGGGTCCCACAGGCTAAGAGGTTACTAGCATTTATTAAGCACTTACTGAATGCCAGACGCTGTTCTGTGAGACTTCAATATGGTCTGATCTCATTTCATTCTCACATGGACCCCCTAGGGGTTATCAGTCCATTTCACAGAGGGGAAACTGAGGCTCAGAGACGTTAAGTCACTGACCCACCGCCACCCAGCAATAATGTGCAGCGCCTGGGTGCGAAAGTGAAGTGAGGCAGCCTCCCCCTGCTCCCAGCTTTTAGACAAGGATCGCCCGCAGCAGCAGAGCGCGCTCATCCTCGGGAGCTGCGTCTGTGTCCCTGTCTGTCTGTTTCTATTTCCACGCGTCCCTGTCTGTCTCCGCGCGCCTCTGCCTGCGCGTCCCCCATCTGTGCCCAAGCCGCCGTCTCTCTGCGCCCGGCCCCCGCACATCGGAGCTATTTCGGGTTGCGGCATAAAAGCCCAACAGCTCGGAGAAGACGCTTCCTCCGGCCCCCGGCTCGGACCACGCGCCGCAAGCGGCCAGCTCGGGGAGCTCCCGGTCTCCCCTGCGGGATCCCCGGGCCGGGGAAGCCCCCGCGGGAGGAAGGGTGGGGGCTGGGGCGACCCGGGCCCCGAGGCTCCCGGCCCCCCAGTGGCCAACCCGGGCATTGACGCGGCTCAGAGCCCGGCCGTGCGTTAGCGGTCGCTATGGCAACAGGCGGGTGACGCCACCTATAGGCAGTGCGTCAGCCTCCCGCTGACGTCACGCCCCGGGAGAGGCAGCTGACGAGGGGCGGGGGCGGATCCCAGGCCCGGCCGGCAGGGGGAGCCCCAGGGCGCTAATGGGGGGGTGCTTTCGGCTTGGTCCTGCAGGAGGCGCTGGCCCGGGCCGACATGGCCCCCGCAGCCCCCACGGCGCGCTAGGGTGGCGGGATGAAGAGAAGTCGCAGCGTCCTGTCGGCGGCCGGGACCGGGGACGAGGTGCGAGGGGCGGGGCCCGGGCTGGGGGCGGGGCTTGGGCCGCGGGGAGACGGGCGCCCTCTAGTGACCATGGCTGTTCCCTAAGCGTGGCTTCACTCCCTCGAGGCCGCGGGGAGTCTGGTCCCCTCGTCCCTCAGTTTACTCTCACGATGCCATTTTTCTCCTGCTGCCCCGATTAAGAGGTTCTCGGCCCAGGGGCAGAAGGCGGGGGCTTCCCAAGTGGGGAGAGGATTGTAGGGTGCAGGGGGGCGCTGGGGGTGAGGTTTTGAGGGTCTCGGATATGAGGGGTGGGAGGGGCCTCGTAGACGTGAGGGTGACGACGTTAGAGGGTTTCACAGTGAGGGACAGAATGCACAAGCATGAGGGCCCAGAGCCCTAGGGCTGGGACATCAAAAGGGAGCCCCACAAAAATTAGGGCTGAGAAAGGGCACCTCTCAGATGTAAGGGGTGCAAAGCACCCTCTGTGGGAGGGATCGGTGAGTGGCTCAGACGGGAGGGGGACACGAGAAGCCTATGCCCCCATCAGCCGCTCTCTCAGATGGCAGGGAGGGGCGTTACTGGGCGGAGGGGCTCGGAGCTGCCCAGCCAGGTCGCGCCCCCATCCCCTCTTGTTCCTCCTCAGAGGCCGCGGGAGACCCGCGAGCTCAGCCGTGCCAACATGCTGGGGGCCGACCTCCGTCGCCCTCGCCGTCGCCTCTCCACTGGCCCTGGCCTAGGCTGGGCTGACCCGGAGCCCTCGGACCCTGGGGTCCCTCTGCTGCCGCGGCCCACCACGCTGCCCCTGCTGATCCCTCCGCGGATTTCCATCACCAGAGCCGACAGGTAGGCAGGAGCGGGACCAGGTTGGAGGTGGGGTGGAGGGACAGGGCCAGCTGGGCCAGGTCCCGCCGCCAGCCCTCTCCACGCTCCAGGCTCCTTGCATTTTGCAAAAGCAGCTGAAAATTATCCCGGAGGCTGTCCTGTCAGGCTGTGACACCCCTCCCCCAAGGCACCCCTCAAAGCCTCCAGGAACCCCCTTTGCAGCTGCCTGAGTTAGCATGGGGCAGGATTTTGGAAGGGGTTTCAGCTCTCCAGTCCCCAACAATTCCACCACACTCAGAGAGCTGGGACAGGCTAGGAAGTGGACCTGCGACCAGTTTGCTGTGGCCCCTATTTTCCCTCCTGGGAGGATTCGGTTTCTTCCAGACCTTAAAGGGGAGAGTGGGATTCTGGAGGAGGCATGGACTGGCATTTTTTTTCTCCTGGGGAGATGTGAGATGTATCTACGAGGCCGAGCTTCACATCAAACTTTCTTGCTGTTTTTCTTTTCTAGTTTTTTTTTGTGTGTGAGGAAGATCAGCCCTGAGCTAACATCCATGCCAATCCTCCTCTTTTTGCTGAGGAAGACTGGCCCTGGGCAAACATCTGTGCCCATCTTCCTCCACTTTATATAGGACGCCGCCACAGCATGACTTGACAAGCGGTGCGTCAGTGTGCGCGCAGGATCCGAACCTGGGGCGCCAGCAGCGGAGCGCGCACACTTAACCGCTATGCCAAGGGGCCGGCCCCTCTTGCTGTTTTTCATTGGGGGTTTTCCCAGGGCGCTCCAACTCCCCTCTTGGCCCAAGAAAGACAGCTGAGCTGTCTTTCCTGGCTGCTGGCTGGGCCCTTGCCCACTGCCGGCCCCAGGCCACTGTTCCCTGCAGCTTCAATCTCCTCATCCCCTTATCTATTCAGTTGGAGGGCTCCAGGGTCTCTTGGGTCAGGTATGATGGTTCATTGGTTCATTGACAGGTGGAGGAGGACGTGACTGTCATTCTCCCCTCTGGTGGTCTAGTGTGCCTCTCCATCCTGAAAAAAATCCCTCCAGCCTCTGTCACCTTCAGGTCCAGCTTGATCCATCCCAGCCTCAGGTCACAGCTGCAACTGCCAGCCCTGGCCCACTGCCTTGTGCCTTCCTAATTCTGCAACCCCCGCTGTGACCTGAAACCCGCCCCCCCCCCATCTTCTGTTACCCATCCAGAGCTTTGGCCAAGGCTACAGCCCCCACCCCGGAAGAATTTGCCCAGCCCAGGACCCTCAAGTGATGTGGGGAGGACCCGCAGCCCCTGCCAATAACCTAGAAGCCGTTTTGAGTGTGTACTTGGGGGGAGGGTCCCTGAGAAAAGTGGGGACACAGTTCTGGCCTCTGGGACACCCCGCGGCGGCTGATGGGGGCAGCTTCTTGCTCCACCTTCGCCCACGCCGGGAGGGAGCACCCTCTGGCGGGGAGAAAATTGGCTGTGGGGGTTGGAGATGGGCTTTTTTTTTTTGTATAAGAACAGTGTGGGGGGAGGGCGGTGGTAGACAGCGCGGCCTGCCCGGGGGACCCGTGAGGGAGGCGCACGGGGCGGGGGCCTGGTTCCGCGGACGCGCACCGGAGCGGGTGAGCGTCCGAGCGCGCATCCGCCGGAGTGGGGGTGGCACCGGGGCTCGTGCGCTCCTCCTGCCCGGCCACTACCAGGGCTCGGCCAGGCCGGGGGGAGGGAGGGCGCTCGGATCCCGCTCCCTCTCTGCTCTCTCGCTCGGCGCGGCGCTGGGGGAGGCGGGAGCGTGAGTCACGGCGACTCCCGATTTAGGTGCCGGAAGGGGGGGCTCTGCCGGCGGGGGCCGCGGAGAGGAGGCGCGGCTGTTTACTCGCCTGAAAAGGGCACGGGGGTGCGTGCCGCGGCTGCTGGGGACCTGCCTCAGTTTACCTCCTGCAGAAGCGCTTTACAAGAGGCACAGAGCGGTGGGCCGGCAGCCAGGTTATCGGCCGCAGGGTGTCCTCCTGGAGTCACACGGGAGCCAAAGGGACACACCCAGTAATCACCCCAAAGCGGCCCCAGGCTGACCACACACACACACCATCACACATAGACTCCTTCAGACGCCACAGTCAAACAACAGAGGCTGAATCGCGTGCACAACTCTGCAAGCATGAACCGACCACAGTACACACCTAAACGCGTGGGTACACATTCGCAGCCCCCAGGCCACCCGAACAGAACCTGGAGAGACGCACACCCTCCAAACAGGCAGCACACGTGCGCACACATCTTCACCCACAAACACACACAGATACACAGCGAAATCCAGAGAAACAGGCACACCGCAGTAGCCAACCACGTGCGCGCACACACTTCCAGCGGACACCAAAAACACAGACAACCTTCGGAAGGATCCACGTGCGCGCACATCCCGCCTCCAGCACACACCATCATCCATCATCATCCTTCGACCCACCAACAGGAGATCTCCCGCAGACCGCCGCTGTCCGCCGCAGGGACCGCATCTGTGGCACCGGGACCACTCCCCACACGCTCCCCCGGGCCAGGGGTAGCGGCGAGGACAAGTTAGCACTGGGCTCCGCCCCCGCCATGATGGACGGACTGACTGACACAAAGGCAACCAGTCGGGTGTCTTCTTCCCAATCGGATTAACCCTTTAACTCTTTCGTGCCCGTGCGCGCAGCGGCTAGGCAACGCGCTCTGGAGAGAACCGAGTTCCGGCGCCCCCTCCCCGCCGGGAGCGGGGCTCTGCGTGGGCAGGGAGGTGCCCCCCCTCCTTGGGTGGCTGCCCCCC